CAAGCTAGATTTAGGTCATGACTCAAACTGATTTTATAACCAATTTTGGTTCAATCGATCAAACTAATCAGTTTGGTCTGAATTTTAAAATAGTGAGATTACCCAAGTCAATACCATTAACCAAAATTCAGCCAAAAAAGTACCATTAACTAAAAGGTTAAATACATTTTTTGGTCCCTTTACTATTGAAAAAAGCCCCTTCTTGATCCTATACTGAAAAAATCCCTTTTTAAGTTCCTAATGTTTAAAATCAACCTCTTTTTAATCCCTTCATCAGTTAAATTACAGCATGGCACTATAATCCATTAAATACTTAGTTTTTCTTTTTCTTTTTCTTTTTATGGTGACGTGTGATTACATGCAAAATTGATGAGTTGGCAATAAAATTTATTTTCCATGTAATCAATAGGTTCTAAAATAATTAAAAGAAAAAATCATCATTTTCCATTTGTCTCTTCATTTCCCATTCCTGTCCTCATCTTCTTCCTAAGCCCAAATCCCTAATCCTCTCTACCTTTGCCTAAACCTAATCCCCCTCTCATCCATTGATCTCTTCTTTGCCAACCCTTCCTCCATCAAAGCCCTCAAATCTTCACACCAATCTTCGTCTCCATTAAAGCTCTTACCTTTCTTCAGCAACCCCTTTTCTCATCCTAAATCTGTTGAGTTCCTTCGAATGACCTTGGTCGATACTTTTATCTCAATGACCATTCCTCCATCAAAGCCCTCAAATCTTCACTAGTTTGCCTCCATTTTTTTCCCCCTTCTGTCTCTCTTTCCTCCGGGCTTTTTTTTTTTTTCTTTTTCACCTTTGCCTTCTGGAAATCAGATCTAAAAAGGTGAACCTAGGTGCCTGGATTCACAAGGTTCGCGGGGTTTGTTGTGAACCTAGGCGCCCGAGTCCCTCACAAACCTAGCCTCGCGTGTTGCTGTGTTGTGATGTTTCCTCACGTCTTTTCTTCTGTTCTTTTTTGCTTCACCATTCTTGGCTTGGGTACTAGATATAGGATTTTCTGTATGTTGATTTTGGATTTCATGGTTAAGCAGTCGTCGAAATTGGTAGAGGGGAGGCGATATTGCTCAAGATTATAGGAAGAAATTTCATTTGAAATTGAAATGTGTTGAGGAATGAGAAAAGAATTGCTGTGAAAAATTAATTTTGGAGAGGATGGAAAGAACAAAAATTTGTGTTGAAATTTGTTAAATTTTTATCTAATTTATGTTTGAAAAGTAAAAAAAATTAAATTAAAACTATTAAATTTAATTAAAA